TGATCCAAATTCTTAAATCATCTCTTGCCACAGGAGAGGTATCACAGTACTGATGGACAGCTAATGTGGTTCTACTTCACAAGAAGGGTGGGAGAGATAAACTAAAGAACTATAGACAAGTGAGTCACACAGATAAGAAACTATTGGAGAAAATAGTGGAGGATAAAATTAATCTCCATTTAAAGAGGGAAGGTATGATTAGGGATAGTCAGCATGTCTTTGTCAGAGCAAGGTCATGCCTAACAAATCTGGTGGACTTTTTCAAGGAGGTGATCAAGTGTTTGGATGAGGGTAGGGCAAATGACATAGTTTATATGAATTTCAACAAAAGACTTTGATAAGGGCCCCACGCAGGAAACTGATAAAGAAGGTAAAAGCTCATGGGATCCTGGCAAGATGCATCGAAAATTGGCTTAGTAACTGGAGACAGAGGGCAGAAGGTTGTTTGTCAGACTAGGGCCCAGGGTGCAGTGGCATACCACAGGGGTCAGTGATGGATTCCTTAATCTCTGTGTATTCATAAATGATGCAGGTGTGAATGTGGGACGGATGATCACTAAGTTTACAGATGAAACAAAGATTGGCTGGGTGGCTGACAAGAGGAGATGGGTAGATCAATGGAAGATGGAATTTAATGTTCATAAATGTGAGGTGATGGACTTTGGAAGAAAGAACAAGACAAGGGAGTACTCCTAGACACTAGGATGCTCAGAGGAACGGAGGGATCTTGGGGTGCTTGTCCATAGGTTCCTGAAGGTGACAGGACATGTTAATGGTTAAGGCGGCATCTGGGATGCTTACCTTTATCACTAATGGCATACGTTAGAAGAGCAGGGATGTCATGTTCGGGCTGTACAGAACTTCAGTTCGGCCACAGCTGGAGTACTGTGTGCAGTTCTGGTCACCACACTATAGGAAGGATATGACAGAGTGCAAAGGAGATTTACCAAGATAATGCCTGACATGGAACATTTTGAGCTATGAAGAGAGGCTGGATAAGTTTGTGTTATTTTCTTTGGAGCTGAGGATGTTGAGGAGGAACCTATTTGAGGTATATAAGATTACGAGGGGAATGGACAGGAGACCTCAATCTTCTAAAAAGCACTACGATGATCACTGTAGGGGTCATAACATTCAAGGTTACAGGCCTACTGCAGAAAAAGTGGGCTAGTGTAGGTAGTAGTATATTTTTAGCAGTACAGACTTGATGGATCCAAAAGGCTTCCACTGTATTAGAACATAGAACAGTACAGGACAGGAACGGACCCTTTGGCCCATGATGTTGTGCCGAACACGATGCATAATTAAACTAATCCCTTCTGCCTGCCTTTGGTCCTGTTTGATTCCATGACCCACAATGCCGCTAGGACGGAGTTCCATGCTTTTGACCCAGTGATAATGAAGCAACGACGATATATTCTAAGTCAAGATGGCCAATGGCCTGGTAGGAAATTTGCAGGTGGTACAAGTTCTTACCTATCTGTTATCCTTAGTCTTTGCAATAATAGTGGTCGTGAGTCTAAGTAGCCTGGTGAATTTCTGCAGTGTATCTTGTACTTGGTAAATACCGCTGCCTCTGTGCTTCAGCGGTCGTTGGAGTGGTTGTGGATGTGGGCCCCATCAAGTAGGCTTTGTACTGAATGATATCAAACTTCTTGAATGTTGTTGGAGCTGCACTAATCCAGGTAAGTGGTAGGTTTCCATCACATGACGGATTTGCAGATGGTGGACAGGCTTTGGGGAGTCGCTCTTTTGTCCAAGTTTGAACTAAAGCTATCATGTACCGAGTGGTCCTGGCGGAACCCAAACCAAAGATGAGTGAGCAGGGTATTGCTAATAAGGAGTGTGCACTCGATAGCATGTTTTGACACTTTCCATCACTTAACTAGTGATTGACAGTAGATTGATTGGCCAGGTTAGATTTGTCCTGCTATTTGTGTACAAGACATACCTAGACAATTTTCCACATTGTCAGGTAGATGCCTGTGTTGTAGCTATACTGAAACAGCTCTTACATTGATATTTCTGGTTCCTCCATTATTCTAGAGGACATAAGGTTTTAGTTTGGGAGGAGAAAGTTTAAAGGATACGTGTGAGGCAAGGTTCTTTCTTAAAAAAAAAAATAGAGGGTGGTAGGTGCTTGGAACGTGCTGCCAAGGGAGGTAGCAAGAGCTGAATTCACTTCCCAACTTCCCAAAGAGATGATAACAATGGATAAAAGGCATTTAGACAAACACATGAACAGGCAAGGAATAGAGGGATACAGACCACGTGCAGGCAGATGGAATTAGTTTAGAATGGCATGATGCATGATATGGTGGGCCTTAGGGCCTGTTCCTGTGCTGTACTATCCTATGTCCCAGAGTTAGATAACATGGAAACAGACCCTTCGGTCCAACTAGTCTCTCTTGTCTGCATTTGGCTTAAATCTCTTCAAACCTTTCCTATTCGTGTACTTATCCACATGTCTTTTAAAAGTTGTAACATTACTTACAGCCACCACTTCCTCTGCCAGTTCATTACACACATGAACCGCTGTGTAAAAAAGTTGCTCTGGATGTCCTTTTTAAAAGTTTGTCCTCTCACCTCAAAAATATGGTCCCTAGTTTTGAACTCCCTGACTCCAGGGAAAAGATCCTTGCTATTCACTTCATCTGTGCCCTTCATGATTTTATAAACCTCTACAAAGTCACCCCTCAACCTCTTATGCTCCAGTGGAAGAAATCCCAGCCTACCCAACTTATCTTAATAACTCAAATCTTCCATACCCAGAAACATTCTGGTGAATACTTTCTGAAACCTCTCCAATTTAATAATATCGTTCCTATAGCAGGGTGACCACAACTGTACTCAGTACTCCAGAAGAGGCCTCACCAACATCCTGTACAACCTCAACATGATGTACCAACTCCTATACTTAAAGGTCTGAGTAATGAAAGCAAGCGTGCTAAGCACCTTAACTACTCTGTCAACATGTCACGCAAATTTCAAAGAATTATGTACCTGAACCCCCCCGAGGTCCCTCTATTCTATAACACTACCTAAGGCCCTACCATTAATTGTATAAGACCTCCCCTTGTTTGCTTCGCCAAAATACAATACCTCACATTTATCCAAATTAAACTCCATCTGCAACTCCTCAGCCCATTGACCCAACTGATCAAGGTCCCTTTATAATTGTCCTAAGTGTTAAATTTAGAGACTTATTACAAACATACATTTTTGGTTTGTGCTAAAAATGGAGCATATGAATCCTCAGCTACCATCACCTGAGAAACATTAATGCAATTAATATATTATAAACACCTAGCTGTGGCCAAATAGTCTGAAAACAATTGATGTCACCTGATCTCGGAAGGTAAGCAGTCTCAGGCCTGGATAGCATTTTGATGCGAGAATGCCTGGGAATATTAGGCATAGGTGGCTTTGGGCATTCATGGTGTAGTGGTAATGTTGTTACCTCTGAGCTAGGAAGTCCAGATTCAAGTCCCACCTGCCCCAGAGGTGTACCATAAAAATCTCTGAACAGGTTAATTAGAAAATACAGCAAACTTTGTTTTAACCAGCACCTTATCAACCAGTATTGTTGATAAACTGGCAAAAATTATATACTTCAAATATCGCGATGTCTGAGTATTTATGCTGTAAATAAAATATACTGGTGATGCATATACACCCTCTGCATTAAGTTTCTATTGTGTGTGTATCTAAATTAACTTTAGGCGGTGTGTTGATGTTTTTCCATAGATTTTTTTGAGGGATTTGATGTTTCGAAGCTTCTCTCGGCTCAGGGTTTATTGCAGTTATGCATACCTCTCGATTAGCCGGAATATTTGATCAACTCCTGGTCCCATAGGTGCCGGTTAATAAAATATTTGCTGTATCTAGTCCCATAAATCTAGGGTATTTGTGGCACAGTGATAGTGTCTCTACCTGTCAGCCAGGAAATCTGGACTCAGGTCCTACTTGATTCCAAAGTGTGTAACAACATCTTTGACAGCTTGATTGGAAAATCTTTACAATTAACATCCAGCTGATAGTCATATTAGTCTGGAAACAACTGATCTCATCTGATCTTGGAAGCTAAACAGATTCAGCCCTGGTTGATACCTGGATGGCAGTCTGCCTGGAAATACCAGGTGGAGTAGCTTTGGGACACGAGGTGTAGTGGTAGTGTCCCTACCTCTGGAGCAGGATATCTGTGTTCAAGAACCATCTGTCCCAAATTGTCATAACATCTCTTAACAGGTTAAATTAAAAAAATTAACGTCCAGTATGGGCTTTTGTGGTAGTAACACTACCTTTAGACCAATAAGACCCCAGGTTCAAGTCTCACTTGCTCCAGGGGTGTGTAATAATGTCTCTGAACAGGGCAATTAGAAAATTTTACAATTACCAACCATGGAAGGCTGTTGTGGTGTAATGGGACTGTCCCTACCTCTGGGTCAAGAGACCAAGGTTCAAGTCCATTTGCTCCAGTGACATGTCTTAAAACATCTGAACAGGTTGATTAGAAAATATCTATAACTGGCACCTAAGGAGATTGTCTGGGAGTACCAGGCGCTATGGGCTTCAGTGCTACTTTGGGTAAGTGGTTGTGTTCCCATCTTGGAGTCAAGGTGCCCAGGTTTAAGTCCCACCTGCTCCAGAGGTATGCAATAATGTCTCTGAACAGGGCAATTAGAAAATATTTACAATTACCAACCATGGAGGGCTCTTGTGACACAGTGGTAGTGTCACTATCTCTGCACTGGAAAGTTTGGATTCAAGTCCCACTGCATCAGGGGTAAGACACAACATTTCTGAACACCCAAAACTTCCTCACCCATCAAGAGTTTAATTCACACTACAGAAAGCTCTAGACTCCCAATGGGAAAGTTTCCAACTTGACATGAGATTTTCAGCAGCACCAGGATAATTTTCTAACTTTACATCTAGCTGAATCAGAGTTCGAAAAATAAGCTCTCATGCAATGGAAACCTTATGTGTATTGTACTTACATTCTGAAGAAGCTGCTCAAACCAATCGTACCCAGTGTCCCTGCAAGCAGCGACCTGCAAAATAGGTGAAAAACAGCTGTCAACAGTAGCACTTTAAAGAAGTGAACCGTCATTCCACAGCAGCATAGATTAGGAGCTATGCAAAACCTACAGCCTCAACTATCTTCAAGTATGAATCATTCCATTTGTGTTCTTTTTAGGGAAACACAAGTAGGCGATTCTATTCCTTGAGAATAATTCCTGAAATTCCCTCCCCAAGGGAATTGTGGATCAATACACAGCTCATGAACTGCAGTGGTTCAAGAAGGCGGCTAACCAACACCTTCTCAAGGGAAACTAAAGGATGGACAATAAATGCTGGCCTGCCAGCAACACCCACATTCCACGAATAAATAAAAGAAAATTAGACTATGGCTGCTCTGTATCTGCACTCTATAATCACTTTGCAACATAGGATCAGGAGTATGCTATTTAGCCATCAAGCCTGCACGTCATTCTAGAACATTGCTGATCATCTACTTTTCGAGGGAAACTTGCAGGTGTCGTTGTTTCCATGTGTCTGCTGCATATGTCCTTCTAGATGGTAAAGGTTGTAAGGTTTGGAAGGAATGGTATCCATTTACAACCCAGGGATTGCCTGAATAGTTAATAATACTGGGGAGTTACAGGCACATGGATTATGAAAGGCAACACTGAGGTATTCCTGGCTACAGAGTGTTAAGAAAAGATGGAAAGGGAGAAAAGAAGGGTAGAGGAGGTCAAGATGGTTTTTCTGGTTAAGTTGAACACTGTAGTGCAGGGGACAAAGTATGTCCCAGAACATTTTTGTACAGAATTGATTTGGCTGTAGCAAAGGAACAAAAAGGGTGAAATTACATCGCTCTATGCAATTTATAGCTTACCCACCAGTGGGAAGGATGCAAAAGAAAAATCTGCAAAGAAATTACCAAATTATATAAACACAGAGAAGATATAACAGGGGAGATTAATTAGCCTAAAATAAGAACATAAGAACCAGGAACAAGAGCAGGCCATATGGCCCTTCGAGCCTGCTCCCACCATTCAATAAGATCATGGCTGAGCTTTTCATGGTCTCAGCTCCACTTACTCACCCTCTCACCATATTCCTTTACTAATCAAAAATTATCTTAGTTTTAAAAATATTCAACGAGGAAGCCGCAACTACTTCGCTGGGCAGGGAATTCCAGATTCACAAACCTTTGGGTGAAGAAGTTCCTCCTCAACTCAGCCCTAAATTTTGAGGCTATGCCCTCTTGTTCTACTTTCACCCACCAGTGGAAACATCCTCCCTGCTTCTATCTTATCTATTCCCTTCATAATTTTATATGTTTCCATGAGATTCCCCCTCATTCTTCTAAATTCCAATTAGTATAATCCCAGTCTATTCAGCCTCTCCTCATAAGCCAACCCTCTCAACTCTGGAATCAACTTAGTGAATCTCCTCTGCACTCCCTCCAGTGTCAGTACATCCTTTCTCAAGTAAGGAGACCAAAACTGCATGTAGTACTCCAGGTGTAGCCTCATCAGCACCCTATACAGCTGCAACATAACCTCCCTGCTTTTAAATTCAATCCCTCTAACAATAAAAGGCAAAATTCTATTTGCCTTCTTAATTACCTGTTGTACCTGCAAACCAACCTTCTGTGATTCATGCACAAGACACCCAAGTCCCTCTGCACAGAGCATTTTTTTTACATTGAAATAATTGTCTCTTTTACTGTTATTCCTACCAAAATGGATGACTTCACATTTATAAACATAGAATTCTATCTGCCAGACTTTCGCCCACTCACTTAAATTATCTACATCCCTCTGCAAACTTTCAGAGTCTTCTACACACTTTGCTCTACCACTCACCTTAGTGTCATCCGCAAACTTTGACATACTACACGCGTTCGCCAACTCCAAATCATCTATGTAAGTTATAAACAATTGCGGTCCCAGCACTGATCCCTGAGGCACACCACTACTCACTGTTCGCCAACCAGAAAAACACTCATTTATTCCCACTCTTTGCTTCCTGTTGGTTAACCAATCCTCGATCCATGCCAATAAATTGCCTGTAAGCCATGCACCTTTATATTATGCAGAAGCCTTTTGTGCAGCACCTTGTTGAATGCCTTTTGGAAATGCAGATACACATCTACTGGATCCCTGTTGTCCATGGCACTTGTAACATCTTAATAGAATTCCAATAATTAGTCAAGCATGACCTGCCTTTCGTGAACCCATGCTGCATCCACCCTATGGGGCAATATCTATCTAAGTTTCTCGTTATTTCTTCCTTGATGATAGATTCAAGCATTTTCCGCACTATAGAAGTTAAGCTAATTGGCCTAAAATTCCTGATCTTTTGTCTCCTCCTTTTTTGAACAGCATGGTCATATTGGCTGTTTTCCAGTCTGCTAGAGGTTTGGATATATACAGGTTTTGATAACAGTAGCTTCAAGGATAGCAAGGCACAAGCATTCTTAAGATTGGGTTCAGGAAAATTTTCTTCAGCAGTACGTGTCCAGTTCATCAAGAAAGGAGACACTGATAGACATGGTTCTTGGAAATGATTCAGTGCAAAAGATAAGGCAGAAGCATTCGCAGCAATTATCAGACAGAAGAATCAAACGGATGATCCATCTAAGCTACCTCCAGTAGATATCAGAATTACAGATACCAGTCTTCAGCAAATTCCATTCACTCCATGTGATATCAAGAAATGGTTAGAGGCACTTGACACTGCAAAGTTTACAGGCCATGACAACATTCTGGCAGAAGTACTGAAGACTTGTGCTCCAGAACTTGCTGCTTCCCTAGCCAAGCTCTTCCAATACAGTTACAACACTGGCATCTACCAGACATTTGGAAGATTTTCCGTCCGTGCCCTGTATATAATAAAGTCAAATTCAACCCTGCCAATTATCATGCAACTGTCTACTCTCTATCGTCAGTCAAGTGCTGGAAGGTGTCATCAGCGCTTTCAAGCAGCATCTGCTCAGTAATCACCAGTTTGAGTTCCACCAGGGCCAGTCAGCTCCTGACCTCATTATAGCTTTGGTTCAAACATGGCCAAAAGACTTGACTAAATTTCAGAGGTGAGGCAAGAGTGACAGCCCTTGACATCAAGGCCACATTTGACTGAGTGTGGCATCAAGAAGCTCTAGTAAAACTGGAATCGCTGGCTATCAGAGCAAACTCTGTGCTGGTTGCAGCCACACATGGCAAGTAGGAAGATGGTTGTGGCTGTTGGAGGTCAGTCATCTCAACTTCAGGACATCTCTGCAGGAGTTCCTTAGAGTAGTGCCCAGGGACCAAGCATTTTGAACTCCTTCATGAGTGATCTTCCCTCCATCATGAGGTCTGAAGTGGGGACGCTCATCAATGTTTGCACAATATTCAGCATCATTTGTGACTCATCAGATACTGAAGGAATTCATGTTCAAATGCAACATGATCTAGTTAATATCCAGGCTTGGGGTGACAAGTGGCCGGTAACATTTGCTCCACACAAATTCCAGACAATTATCATCACCAATAAGAGACACTGTATCTTGGCATTCAATATTGTTGCTATCACGGAATCTCCCATATTAACATCCTTGGGATTATCACTGACCAGAAACTGAACTGGATGTGCCACATAAACAGTGGCTGCATGAGCAGATCAGAGGCTAGGAATATTGTGGTGAGTAACGCACTTCCGGACTCGTGAAAACCTGTTTACCATCTAGAAGGCACATGTCAGGAGTGTGATGGAATACTTCCACTTGCCTAGGTGAGTTTAACTCCTCCAACTTGAAGCTTGACACCAAGGACAAAGCACCCCATTTGATTGGCACTATAGTTGCAAACATTCACTCACCATCAATGCTCAATAGCAGCAGTATGCAATATCTAAAAGATGCACTGGAGAAATTCACCAAAGTTGCTTATACAGCACTTTTCAAACACACAACCACTTGCACCTAGGAGAAAGGCAGCAGATACATGGGATCACCATTATCTCAAGTTCCTCTTCAAGCCACTCATTATCCTGACTTGGAAATACATTGCTGTTCCTTAACTGTTGCTGGGTCAAATTCCTTGAATGCTCTCACCAAGGCATTGAGAGTCTACTTGCAGCACATGAGCGGCAGCAGTTCAAGAAGGAAACTTACCACCAGCTTCTCAAGGGCAAAAAATGCTGGTCCACCAGTGTAGGCCAGGTCCCACGAGTGAATAAAAAAGGAGGTAAGGCAAATTGGTCAGTGGGGGAAAACTCAGGAAACAGTATCATCAGATTTGTGTCGGTGGAAAAGGACAGCGAATAATCCAGAATGACAATTATCAACTGGCACAGAAAGCAGATTTCAACAGTGCAAGAATTAAGATTGACTAGTTAGAGTGGAATCTAAGGCTGATGAGAAAAACAGATGCAGAGCAATGAGCATCTTTAAAGAGGAAATTGACTGGACGGCATCAAGGTATATACCGTCAAAAGGGTAATGTATAACAAACAATCCACAGCTCCACCGCCAACAAAGGAGATAGAAATTAAGGCAAAGACAAATTGAAAGTACAACGTATGATTAAGACCCAACCTGAATAGAGAAGGTTCAGAAAGGAGGCAAAAAAAAGCAAAGAGAATTAACATAAAAGGTGAATTCCAAAGTCTTTTTATAAACACCTAAATACTGAAAGGGTAACAGGAGGAGGAGTAGGGTCAATTAGGGACATAGCTGAGGAGATTATGGAGGCATTGGTAGTGATCTTTCCCAAATCACCAGAGTCGGGTAAGGTCCCAGAGGAATGGAAAATGGCTAATCTCCTTGGTAGACGGGACTATGAAATTTGAAATGCAAACAGATCTTATTCTATGACAGGGCAATTTTGAGGCTGCATTGAGAAATAGCTGCTTCTGTTTTACATTTTCATATGTTTGTATTTGGGACCGAGATAAGGAAAATTACTTTTTCAAAGGGTTATGTACCTACGTAATTCTCTGCTCCAATGTGTTATGGATAGTCCGAAGTGACATGACACCGGGTTATAGTCCAACAGGTTTATTTGAAATCACAAGCTTTCGGAGCGCTGCTCCTTCATTTCCACATCATGGATAGCCCGTCATTGAAAACATTTAAGGCTCACCTACACAGAATTTTAGTCTTCTAAGGGGTCAATCAAGGTCTTTGGGTATCATGCAGGAAATGGAGTTGAAGCCCAAAAAGAGCTATAACCATGTTAAATAGCAGGAATGATGGGAAAGATGGTCATTGCCTGTTCCTACATCTTGTGTTCTTGTGAAATTACCCTGAGAAACTTCTAGAGTGATGTACTGGGACTGAGATAATCAAACTCCAACAACCACACGATCTTCCTTTGTATGGTTCCAACCAGTGGATGCAATTCATTCTGAACATCAAATCTTCACTACTATTACCAGAACCTGGAAAGGCTCGTAACGCTTTTTCTGTTTTTTTAAAATTCGCTTGTGGGACATGGGTGTTGCTGGCTGGCCGACACTAGTTGCCCTTGAGAAGGTGGTGGTTAAGCTGCCTTCTTGAACCGCTGCAGTCTACCTGTTGAGGGTTCATCCACAATGCTATTAGGGAGGGAATTTCAGGGTTTTGACCCAGTGGCAGTGAAGGAACAGTGATATATTTTCAAGTCAGGACGGTGAGTGCTTACAGGGGAACTTGCAGGGGGTGGTATTCCCATGTATCTGCTGCCCTTGTCCTTCTAGATGGAAATGGTTGTGGGATTGGAAGGTGCCGTCTGTGGATATTTGGAGAATTTCTGCAGTACATCTTGTAGATAGTACACACTGCTGCTACTGAGTGTCGGTGGTGGAGGGAGTGAATGCTTGTGGATGTAGTGCCAACCAAGCGGCTGCTTTATCCTGGATGGTGTCAAGCTTCTTGAGTGTTGTTGGGGCTGCGCCCATCCAGGCAAGTGGGGAGTATTCCACCACACTCCTGACTTATGCCTTGTAGATGGTGGACAGGCTTTGGGGAGTCAGGTGGCAAGTTACCCGCCTCGGTATTCCCAGCTTCTAACCTGCTCTTGTAGCCACTGTGTTAATGTGGTGAGTCCAGCTGAGTTTCTGGGCAACGATAACCCCCAGGATGTTGACAGTGGGGCAGTAATGGTAACACCGTTGAACGACAAGGGACAGTGTTTCTTATTCATGATGGTCATAGCCTAGCATTTGTGTGGCGCAAATGCCACTTGCCACTTGTCAGCCGAAGCCTGGATATTGTCCAGATCTTGTTGCATTTGAACATGGACTGTTTCAGTATATGAGGAGTCGTGAACGGTGTTGAACATAGCACAATCAATCATCGACGAACATCCCCACTTCTGACCTTATGATGGAGGAAAGGTCATTGATGAAGCAGCTGAAGATGGTTGGGCCTAGGACACTGCCCTAAGGAACTCCTGCAGAAATGTCCTGGAGCTGAGACATTTGACTTCCAACAACCACAACCATCTTCAGGTATGACTCCAATCATCGGGGAGTTTGTCCCCAATACCCATTGATTCCAGTTTTGCTAGGGTTCCTTGATGCCACACCCAGTTGAACGTAGCCTTGATGTCATGGGCTGTCACTCTCACCTCACCTCTGGAATTCAATTTTTTCATCCATGTTTGAACCAAGGCTACAATGTGGTCAGGAGCTGAGTGGCTCTGGCAGAACCCAAATTAGCTGCCACTGAGCAGGTAATTGCTGAGCAGGCGCTGCTTGATAGCACTGCTGATGACACCTTCCATCGCTTTACTGATGATCGAGAGTAGATTGTTGGGGCATTAATTGGCTGGGTTGGATTTCTCCTGCTTTTTGTGACATACCTGGGCCATTTTCTGCATTGTCGGGGAGTTGCCAGTGTTGTAATTGTACTGGAACAGCTTGGCTAGGAGAACGACAAGTTATGGAGCACAAGTCTTCAGTACTTTTGCCAGAATGTTGTCAGGGCCTTTAGCCGTTGCAGTATCCAGTGTCGCCAACCGTTTCTTGATATCATGTGCAGTGAAGCGAACTGGCTGATGACTGATATCTGTAATGTTGGGGACCACCGGAGGAGGCTGAGATGGATCATCCACTCGGCACTTCTGGCTGAAGATTGCTGCGAAAGCTTTGGCCTTACTTTTGCACCAAACGTTGGAGATGGGGACATTTGTGGAGCCTCCTTCTCTACTGAGTTGTTTAATTGTCCACCACCATTCATGACTGGATGTGGTAGAACTGCAGAGCTTAGCCCTGATCCATTGGTTGTGGGGTTGCTTAGCTCTGTCCATCACTTGCCGCTTATGCTATTTGGCACGTGAGTAGTCCTGTTTGGTGGCGTCACCAGGTTGATACCTCATCTTCAGGTATGCCTGGTGCTGCTCCTGGCAATTCGTCCAGCACCCGCCATTACACCAGGGTTGTTCCCCAACTTGATGGCAATGGTTGAGCCAGGCCATGAGGTTACAGACTGTGCTGAAGTACAACTCTGCTGCTGTTGATGGCCAACAGCGTCTCATGAATGTCCGACATTGAGTTGCTAGATCTGTGCGAAGTCTGTCCCATTTAGCACAGTGATAGTGCCACACAACACGATGGAGATTGTTCTCAACGTGAAGGCGGGCTTTTGTCTTCACAAGGACTGTGCAGTGGTCACTCTTACCAATACTGTCATGGGCAGATGCAACTGCAGCTGGCAGATTGGTAAGGATGAGGTCAAGTATGTTTTTCCCTCTTGTTGGTTCCCTCACCAGCAGCAACAGACCCAGTCTAGCAGCTATGGTCCTTTAGGACCCAACCAGCTCGATTAGTAATACTGCTCCCGAGCCACTCTTGGTGGTGAACATTGAAATCCCCCACCTAGAGTACATTTTGTGCCCTTGCCATCCTCAGTACATCCTCCAAATGTTATTCAACTTGGAGGTGTACCAATACATCACCCGAGGGAGGACACTACATGGTAATCAGCAGCAGGTTTCCTTGCCCATGTCTAACTTGAAGCCACGAGACTTCATGGGGTCCGGAGTCAATGTTGAAGGCTCCCAGAGCAACTCCCTCCCGACTGTATACCGCTGTGTCACCAACTCTGCTGGGTCCGTTCTGCCGGTGAGACAGGACATATCCAGGGATGGTGATGGTGGTGTTTGGGGCATTTTCTGTAAGGTATGGTTCTGTGAGTGTGACTATGTTAGGCTGTTGCTTAACTAGTCTGTGAGACAGCTCTCCCAATTTTGGCACTAGTTTCCAGATGTTAGTGAGGAGGACTTTGCCGGGTCGACAGGATTGTATCTGTTATCTTTTCCAACAACTACGTAGATGCTAGGTGATCCATCTGGTTTCATTTCTTTGAGACTTTGTATTGATTGGTACAACTGAATGGCTTGCGAGGCCATTTCAGTGGGCAACAGAGTCAACCACATTGCTGTGGGTCTGGAGGCACATGTAGGCCAGACCCGATGAGGATGGTAGGGTGCCTTCCACGAAGGAAGGACATTAGTGAACTATATAGGTTTTTCTGACAATTGACAATTATTTTATGGTGAATAGTAGATTCTTAATTCAAGATTTATTTTTCTTGAATTCAAATTCCACCATCTGCCATGGCAGGATTCAAACCCAAGTCCCCAAAACAATAGCTGAGTTTTTGGAATAATAGTCTAGTGATAATACCACTGTTTCTCAATATCATGTAGTGAGAGTTAAACTGGCTGTATCTGTGATGGCGGGGACCTCAGATGGAGATCAAAGTGGATCATCTCCTTTGACTGAAGTTCGTTATAAATACTCAACTTTGTCTTTTGCACCATCGTGCTGGACGTACCCCAACTCATTTACAGATATTTGTGGAGTATCTGCTTTGATTAGTTGAGGTGTGCCTGCATTCATGACGGATTTGACAGTTTCTGGCTAGTCTTTTATTTAGCTGTGGCAACCCATACAACCACTACATTCTGCATTGGAAGGTCCAAGTCATTGTGGACATCCACATGCTTGAGGCCAGAATACGGCACATACCCAAGGAAATAGTCTGACTGTTGATGTTACCACCATTTGTAGATATCAGCAACTTTCAGAGTTTTTGAGGCAGGAAGTTGGGGCTCAATTTAAGGTTTCAAGATTTCATATTAAGAGATTTTTGTTTGGTGATGGCAAGGAGCAAGGCCAAGCGAATGGGGCTAAGAATCAGATCAGCCACGCTCAAACAGAATGGCAAAACATGCTCAAGAGCTGAATGGCCATTTGTGATCATCTTGATTCATTTACAAAGACCACCTGTGTTTACACTTAAACTAGCTTAAGTTTTATACAAGTACATCAGGATGGTGTTAAAGTGTCACAGGATAAAAGGAAGACATGTCTACTTCCCTAAAAGTGAAAGAAACTGTCATACTTATCTGGTCTGACCTACATGTGACTCCAGACCCGCAGCAACGTGGCTGACTCTGAACTGCCGCCTGGGCAATTAGTGATAGGCAATAAATGCTGCCTTGTCAGTGACGCCCTCATCCTGTGAATGATGATAAAAAACTCACCACATCTGTGACATTTAGGATTTTCCGTGTCATCCCTTCAGCATCGTGAGAAGGAGTGGGAGTGAACCAGAGTTTCTGGAATGTTTCATTCACCAGTTTCTGCAGAGAATAAAATTTGAATTACACTGATATCTACTTAGGAGCTCATCCAATCATAGCAAACATAAGAACAATAGTGAAATGAGAACAGCTCATATAAAACATCTGAGATAGTAGGAACTGCAG